CCACGATGGAAGACGTCTTGGCCAGAGTAACAATTCAAATAAGGTGGGAGGAAGATGAGATGAATCAGGCAATTCACGCTAGGTATGACTGAATGCAGAATGACAAGAGGCCAGAGCTTAGATCGATTGTAGGCCTTACAAGGTCACCAAAGAAGCAGGGAAGGGTGCCTACCTGCTCTAAACTCCCAAAGGCAAAGACATCAGCAACAGTTGGAACCCAATCCATCCCACATGCTACTACTTTTAGGTGAAATCAATCTAAATATTTGTTGTCTTTTCATTTTTTGTTTAAAAAGGATGAGTGGGCCTATCCACTGCCTTCATAGACAGCTGGTCTCACGGCCTGAATTCAATGAAGCATTATTCAATAACTGACACCTTTGAATCAGCCCTGTCCGATTCATGAGCTTTCACACTTCAGATCGGCCCTGCTCAATCCACGGATTTACATCTTCGGATCGACTCTGCTCGATTCATGTAATTACACCTTCGGATCGGCTCTACTCAATCCATGTATTTGCATCTTCAGATCGACCCTACTCGATCCACGTAATTACACCTTCGGATCGACCCTGCTCGATCCATGGATTTACATCTTCAGATTAACCCTGCTCGATCAAATGTTTATTACACCTTCGGATCGGCCTTGCTCGATCCACTGATTTGCATCTTCGGATCGGCCTTGCTCGATCCACGGATTTGCATATTCAGATCGACCCTACTCGATCAAATGTTTGTTACACCTTCGGATCGACCCTGCTCGATCCATGGATTTACACCTTTGGATCGACCTTGTTCGATCTAGCAGATTTACACCTTCAGATCAACCCTGCTCGATCCACTGGTTTGCATCTTCAGATCGACCCTGCTCGATTTACGGATTTTTTACACCTTCGGGTCGACCTTGCTCGACCCACGAATTTATACCTTCGGATCGACCCTGCTCGATCCACGAATTTACACCTTTGGATCGGCCTTGCCTGATCCACAAATTTACACCTTCGAATCAGCCCTGCCCGATTCATGAGCTTTCACACTTCAGATCGGCCCTGCTCGATCCATGGATTTGCATCTTCGGATCGACTCTGCTCGATCCACGTAATTACACCTTCGGATCGGCCCTACTCAATCCACGTATTTGCATCTTCAGATCGACCCTACTCGATCCACGTAATTACACCTTCGAATCGACCTTGCTCGATCCATGGATTTACATCTTCAGATTGACCCTGCTCGATCAAATGTTTATTACACCTTCGGATCGACCTTCCTCGATCCACGGATTTGCATCTTCGGATCACCTTGCTTGATCCACGGATTTGCATATTTAGATCGACCCTGCTCGATCAAATGTTTGTTACACCTTCGGATCGACCCTACTCGATCCATCGATTTACACCTTTGGATCGACCATGTTCGATCTAACAGATTTACACCTCCAGATCGGCCCTGCTCGATCCACGGATTTGCATCTTCAGGTCGACCCTGCTTGATTCATGGATTTACACATTCGGATCGACCCTACGCTATCCAACAAATTTACACCTTCAGATCAACCCTGCTCGATCCACGGGTTTGCATCTTCAGATCGACCTTGCTCGATTTACGAAATTTTTACACCTTCGGGTCGACCTTGCTCGACCCACGAATTTACACCTTCGGATCAATCCTGCTCGATCCACGAATTTACACCTTCGGATCGGCCCTGCCCGATCCACGAATTTACACCTTCGAATCGACCCTACTCGATCCACAGTTTCATCTCCGAATCGGCCTTGCCCGATTCGTGGATCCACACCTTCGATCGGCCCTGTCCGGTTCATAAAGCTACACATTCAGTTGGCCAAAACAAGTGAAGGGTTCTTACACCTCAAAATCGACAAGTCATCGACCCAACCCAACAAAGAGTTCACATGACTCAGCCACTAGGCTGCACCAAAATCAGAACACAAGCATACGACTCAACTCCACCATCCTCACTCCCCAAGAACTAAGTATTGGACCTCCACTCTACCTGACCGACCGACCGACTCAACTTCACCATCCTCACTCCCCAGGAACCAAGTATTGGATGTCCATTCTACCCGACCGACTGACCAACTCAACTCCACCATCCTCACTCCCAGGAACCAAGTATTGGATGTCCATTCTACCCGATCGATTGACCAACTCAACTCCACCATCCTCACTCCCAGGAACCAAGTATTGGATCTCCACTTAACCCGACCGACCGACCGACCAACTCAACTCCACCATCCTCACTCCCCAAGTGTCAAGTATTGGATCTCCACTTTACCCGACTGACCGACCGACCGACCGACTCAACTCCACCATCCTCACTCCCTAGGAACCAAGTATTGGATCTCCATTCTACTCGACCGACCGACTCAACTCCACCATCGTCATTCCCCAGGAACCAAGTATTGGATCACCACTCTCCCTATGCCACCGACCGACCCGGTCTTTTCAAACTTTGACTATCACCACTCACCCCACCCCACGCCACCGATCAACACACAAAATTAACATGTCTAAAGATTCAATTGCCCTTCTTACTTGATCGAGTCAGCACATTGCGACACGCCGGCTCTCGCAACAAAGCCGACACTCCCATGCTTCACGTCCAGGAGATTCTCCCAATCGGGGTGACTGGCTAGGAGTAGTCTAGCATCAAGCCAAAGGGCCTTGCCCATTCGGTCTTCCATAGCGGACGAGTGGGCAGCCATGGGTCAAGTTTGCGCATTTTATTTGGCCCTTTAGCATCTAGTAAAGAGCGATGTGGAATCGCAAGCGCGAGTCATACGGTCCAATAAGCCGGCCGAGTCAATTTCATCCCACTTGATCACCCAAGTATCCTAACAGAACGTACCTTCAATTTAACATCGTCTCCAACTCATTCAACCTGGCATACCGAGCGGATACCCTTGCCATGGGATACTTGCTCATTTCCCCAGTCAGCAAGACACACCGAACGAGCACATGAGCTTCAGAAGTCTCGTTGTCTCAGTCCCTTCGGCCTTTCACACCGATCAAGCACATCCTCTTGGGATGATGGCATACTTCGGATCGGTAATGGATACTGAATGACCCTTGACTACCAATCACCTACATTAAACTGTTCAGCTACACCGACAATCGATTGTCTAGGAAGGGAGACCGAGGGTGCCTCGATCGCTTCCTACTCTTTGACTTAAGAAAATCTTAACTCAGGGAGTGGGGGGCAAACTATTAGGGCCAAAAATCGTCCTTGGCCCAAATAGGAAAACAGAATTGAATGAGGAAGAGACTAGGCCCAATCCCGATGCGGCCCAATCTGGATTAGGCCCATTTGATATGAGGTACGCAAGCCTCCCAATCCCAGTTCACTTCCTGGACTTATGAACGAGTCCAGAGCCCAAGGCACCCACAGATCACTTCCCTATTCAAGGTTATCTTCCTGTTCGAGGCCACCTTCCTATTCGGGATCACTTTCCTGTTCAAGGACAGCTTCCTATTCGGAATCACCTTTCTATTCGGACACTAGTAAGACAACTCACCACCGCCCTAATTCCTCTAGGGTTTGTATCAAAGTCACACTAGGACTCCTACTCCCACCAGGATTGGGAGACCAGACAGTTACTATATAAGCAGAGGTCATCCCTCTCACAAGAGAGATTACATTACACCTTCACACCTGAAGCTCTGACTTGAGAGCCTCACATCACTACCGTAGTCACAATCCTCGACTAGACTTCCGATAACCTCTCTACTCCCTAGCCCTCACTATACTAGCTTCTTTCAGCCTTGTTAACTTGAGCATCGGAGTGTCTATGATAAATACTACCCTGGTGTTTTTCGTTCGCTTCACGCTTGTTTCTCTATGTGTGCAGATGCAATGGATCGCTAGTAGCCTTAACCTCATGGGATCAAATTTCCCTTTTGTACAAATAGATTTTTACGGCTACAATTGGTTAAAAGTTTATTTTCACTATTACGATAGATTACTCATAGCCATACATTTTTATAACTTTGGGGTGTGGATGTTGAAACTGTTACCTCGAGTGAGGTGAGGGACAATGATCCATCAATTAATGTTGCCTGGCAGATACAAGTGTTTCTTATTTCTCCCCGATGAGATGGTTTAGTCATCCACTTTGTTTGGAAAGTATTAAAAATACCCTTATAATTATCAAAAACTCTCCTTAAAAATATCAAAAACCCTTTTGAAAATATCAAACACCCGCTTACAAAATTATAAAAATCCTCTATTATGGGTCTTTTTAATACTTTCTAAATGCAGTGGATGGGAAAAATTAAACGATCTCATGTGGGTTACAATTAAATTAACCCAACTGATAGTGAATGATGAGTAATAAGGGGCAATATTGGAACAAGGGCATAAACTATTTTGGCTATTTAATTAGCAATTATAATGGGTTTACAGTGTGTAATTAAAAAACTATAATCATATAGTCATATACTAATAAACTGATCATTGATATCTGGGAAGACCCACCTTAGATCCACGTTTCAGCTTGAAAAGTCCATTATAGATCCATGCTAGGCATTGATGGCAGAACTAGAATTAGTATATGGATGATAGATTATGTTTCACATTCATTAGCAATTTCAGCTAAGCCACTACTGGACTTCATGTGAGGTGAGGGATGGCTTCAAATTTAACTCAAAAGTAAATTATAAATGAAATCTGAAAGCTTTGACTGTACCAGTTATAAGTTTGAATAAAACTGTGACAGGGACTATCATGTAATTGACTGGTGAGAGACTTGTGGCAGAAGATGGGGTGCCCAGTTTACCCTTCAAAAATAAGGAAAGGACAGTACAGTAATCACTCTGAGGGTGACAGAAGGAGAGAGAGATAAAATGATACAGTAGAAATAAAAATAGATAATGAAAAAAGATAAAATAATAAAAGAAATAGAGATAGGGACTTGAGAGAGAGAAATGGAGAAGAGAAGGGTACTTTTTTTTTTTTTTTTATAACTTTTTTATGATGCACGCATCCATGGAAGAACAGAGAATGGTGCAGAGCACTGCTTCGACATAAGAGTTGTAGAGGAGGAAGAAGAATAGTAAAGAAGAAGAAGAAGAAGAAACAATTATTCTAAAGTTTATTAACAACCACAAAGAAGTTGCTAAAGATAGAGATAGAAACATGGAGCTGCCATGGATTTGAAGGTAACATGGAGCTGAAGAGAAAGAGAAAGAACTGGTGGGTCTTAAGAAGAGTGAAAAAGGAGAACAGGTGTTTTGCTAAAATGGCATGGGTTTGCTCTTATTGAGGTAGAGTTGAGAAAGATTCATTCATCAACATTCTTGGCATGCAGGAACCAGTTTGTTTTTGGGTCTAACAAATCTTAGAGGAGCTAACTTATTGTATTCAAATGTTGGTCTTTTCTTGATCCTTCACAACCGATTTCTTTTAACTTTTCTTTAGCGAAATAGTTAATATTATGAGAGGTATATCCATACCTTTTCATCTACAAGAAAAAGGGGCGTTTGAAATCCAAGATTTCACTTCGATTTGCTCTCAAGACAAGTGGAAAAAGAAACAACCAGAAGAAGTGAATAGCAACAATAACAACAACAACAGCTTTTTCTCTTGCAGCAACAATAACGAACCAACTTCTGTTCTTCATATGAGAAGAAGCCAAAGTCCACCCACTTCTGCTTCCACTCTTTCATCCTCTCTCAACAACACCACCACCACCATCACCACCGCTGATAACGCAACTGCTATCCCACAAGGACCGGTGGCTTCTTTGGTAAATAATGAAAGAAAAGACGAGTGGGCAGCTGAGTTGCAACCGATTCCAAGCGGGTTGGAGGTGATTAACAACGGAGGTGAAAGATGCGGTCTTGGTTTGGAAGATTGGGAGAGCGTGTTATCCGAAACAAGTCAGGAACAGTCTATTTTGAGATGGATCGCCGGGGATGTGGACGACGCGTCGTTTGGACTAAAGCAGTTGTTGCAAAGTGGTGGGAATGGTCATAACCCTCTTGTTGATTTTGATGGCAATGCTGGTTGTAATTTGGGGATTATTGATCAAGCTTCAAATTTTGAGTCAATAGGCGGTGGCCTTGTATCTGGTAATGTTAGTGTCACTAATTTAGGTGCTTTTTCTGGTTCTGGGTTTGTGTCAAACAACAATGGGAATGGGAATGGGAATGGAAAGATTGCTGCTTCTTCTTCTGGATTGGTTAATCACAAGTTGGTTGGATTGCATAACAACAATTCTAATAATATGTCAAATGCAAATTTTGGTTCAATAGGTAACAACAATATGCCTATTGCTCCAGTTTCTTTTCCTCCTGGTGTGATTTACCAACGTTCCCTATCTCAAAACTTTGAAACTCCAGAAGAAAAGCCACAGATTCTCAATCCACAAATATTGATGAACCACCAACACCAACACCAACAGGTGCAGTCTCAAAATCCAAACTTTTTGTTGCCTATAACTTATCCTCCTCAACAACAAGAACACCACCACTTGCTTCAACCACAACCAAAGCGCCACAACTCTGGAGGAGCAAGTTTAGACCTTTCACCGCATCATGTTCCCAAACCACCCTTCTCTGATTCAGCCCATGAGTTGTTTCTCAGAAACCAACAACAACAGCAGCAGCAAATGGGGTTTTCTCAAAATGTGCAGTTTCTTCCTCATCATCTTCAACAAAAGCCTTTGATGGTGACAACAAAGCCGAAGGTTTTAGGAACAGGGAGTGAAGAAATGATTCGTCAACAACATGCTTTGCTCGACCAGCTCTATAAAGCTGCAGAGTTGGTAGGGACTGGGAATTTCTCACACGCGCAAGGGATATTGGCGCGGCTCAATCACCAGCTCTCTCCTGCAGGTAAGCCCTTTCAAAGGGCTGCTTTCTACTTCAAAGAGGCTCTGCAGTTGCTACTTCTCATCAACAACCCAGCCCCTCCACCACTTACCCCAACCCCTTTTGATGTTATTTTTAAAATGGGAGCTTATAAGGTGTTTTCTGAAGTGTCTCCTATTATTCAGTTTGTCAACTTTACTTGCAACCAGGCTCTTCTAGAGGCTCTTGATGATGCTGATAGAATCCACATTGTGGACTTTGATATTGGCTTTGGTGCTCAGTGGGCTTCATTTATGCAGGAGCTTCCGTTGAGGAGTAATAGGAGTTCTCCTTCATTGAAAATAACTGCTTTTGCTTCTCCTTCCACTCACCATCCTGTTGAGCTTGGGCTTATGCGTGACAATCTGACACAGTTTGCTAATGAAATTGGTATTAGTTTTGAGCTTGATGTGGTTAACTTTGATTCTTTGGATCATACCTCTTTTACACCGCCCATTTTTCGATCAAATGAAGATGAGGCAGTCGCTGTTAATTTTCCTATTTGGTCCTATTCGAATCAACCCTCTGCATTGCCCTCTCTCCTTCGCTTTCTGAAGCAGCTTTCACCAAAAATTGTGGTATCATCAGATAGAGGATGTGAAAGAAATGACCTATCTTTTCCAGATTATATTCTTCATGCCCTCCAGTCATACATAAACCTATTGGAATCGCTAGATGCTGCTAATGTGAATTCCGATGCTGTGAACAAGATCGAGAAGTTCCTTCTTCAGCCGAGGATTGAAAGTTCTGTATTGGGGCGGATCCGAGTCCCAGACAGAATGCCTGTGTGGAAAACACTCTTTGCCTCAGCTGGATTCTCCCCTGTCACATTCAGTAACTTCACTGAAACTCAGGCAGAATGTGTGGTGAAGAGGACTCCATTGAGGGGATTTCATGTTGAGAAGCGCCAGGCATCGCTTGTGCTATTTTGGCAACGCCGGGAGCTGATCTCAGCATCAGCTTGGAGGTGCTGAGGAGCATATGTTTGGCAAGCAGGGGGATTGTCTTTTAGCGAATCACAACCTACGAAGAGGTTCCAACTTGCTGCACTTCGATATTAAGTGAATAAATATATTTAACTGTGTTATTGGTACCTTGTTTATGGTTTAATCCTTGTGAATTCTTGTGCTTGTGAGTCTCCTCTGCTTGTTGTCTCCTTAGTCTATGTTCAAGACTCGAACTTCCAGTTATACAAAAAGCTGGAAAGTCTTAGTAGAGTCTTGTTTTCGACATGGATATTGCTGCAATAATATTTTGATGTTTTCAGTGTGAGAAGCTGCATTTTCTTCTGGTAATGGGGTGTTAGTTTATTGTAGAATGGACAACAAATCTGAACTATCAATGAATAGAACTTACCAGATTTTCAGTTTATGTTTTGTTGGACTTTTTGTTCTTCATGCTTATTTCATATGCAATTCTAGTTTCTTATTCCATATTCTGGTGGAATTTGTTTAACACGATACCTGTGTGTACGCTTGTTAAAATTGGAGACAAAATTCTTTTTTCAGAACCTAATAAGTTGGCTTGTATGTCCACTTGGAAAAGTTCCAGTAGTGCCAAGTGTTGATAAATATGGAGGTTTTAGATGGTAGGATGGTAAGAGCGAAGAATTGGCTGAAGCAAGCAAGGGATCAAGGACAATGTTTTCGAGGGTCAATTGACTTTGGCTTTTAACTGCATCCAGAATCACTATTCTGTTTTAGCAATCAAGTTATGTGCAATAGAGGCACATGTCTACTGGGCAGACTAGTGATCTCTTAGGATATTGCCGTCTTTGTGAAGATTTCTCCTTGTTTCAACATGAACTAGAAAATTATGAGGAGTTTTGAAATAGGTTTTTTAATCAGCACGAAAAACACAGATTGAATTTAAGGTATGATTCTTCTGTCTGTAAATATGGTATCAAAATGTTCCCTATGGTTTTACGAGGAAAAAGTTACATTTGCCGTATTGTTTGCAATCCAGCTAATTGTGGTTGATTTGATAAAATCTTTTTTGGTTCTAACCACAAGCATGTTTCGTGCATAAGTTATCCTGTCGTTTCTTACGGCTTAAGCATGTTTTCCTTTTGGACTTGCTACTCTTTGTGGTGCCCTCAAGTTGAATTAAATTGTGTTTGTCAATTTGTTGTTGGATGTCAAATTAGTGAAAATCTTGAATCAACAGTTGAAGTTTTCTGTTACTGTAACAATGATTTTCTGTAAGTAGGTGAGTAGGTTTATGTATGCTACTTAAATTCATTTCAATAGAGTAGTAGGTCCAGCAGTTTTCACTCTATTTACGATGAAAGTGATTTGCTTGTTACAGGCAGGCTACATATCTCTCATTTGGGCTGTTGCAACTGAGTTGCATACAGCTGCACTAACGTACAAATTAAAAAATCTTTAATAGTATAAAGTTAGGGTTTTGTATGATTTTGTTCTGTAGAAATTTGTTAAGTGCTTGCTATACTAATTGGTGCTTTCGCGATCGATGTATAATGCTGAGTTTACAAGGTTTTTGGTTTTGATTTGATTTAATTGTTACATATAAGTAATATTTAAGGGTACGACATCTCAAACAGAATGTTTTAAATCCAACCTAGCAAAGCAATCGGGTCCTGGGTTGACCAGTTTAACCGGTTTGATTGATGGGTCAAAATACCCCTAAAAATTACTGTAAGTCCCTATAGGTTTGAAATATTACAAAAACATTCCAAACACCACCGATGGCGTTGGCAAATAGGGCCTGTTTTTAGCGACGACAATACTCTCCATTACCATGAAAACACTTCCCTCAGTTTCTTGACTAAAACTCATCTCACCCCTCCCTTGTTCGCCTCCCTAATTGCCAGCAACAACATTGTTTTACGATTTCTCGTCGATTCACTCACTGAAAATCGCGTTGTAACTGACCCGGTGAAGGCTTCGGGTCTTGGTTAAACCGGTTGGGCTGTGTTCAAACACTTAAAAGATGGTGGTGTTGGAGTAAATATCTTCTATTAGGTCACCATGATGTAAGGCTACTGCATTGTTTAAACCATATGATGCATAATCTTCAGTTTGGTAAGACATGAATCTTTTACTAATTATTAAAGCATTTATGTTCGTTGTTTAGTTGAAAGCCGGTTAGATACATAACAGCAAGTAGTAGGATTAAAAATATTCCATGCAAACTCAAATATTAGGGGCATAATTCTCCATGGCTAGCTATGTTTTGTATTTCATTCGACAAATAGTTTAGGCATTGACATTAAGGTTTGGTGATGTCTAGATCTAGAATAAATTGACAAATTTTAAAAGTGTTTGTTGCAAGCACGGGAAGACAAAAACAAAAAAAAGACACCTAAGATTGGGTAATTTTGCAAGTCTCTTAACAATAATTCCAGCTCCATTAACATGGTTAGCTTGAATTATGTCTCATAAAATCTCTCTTTGCATGTACAACGCCAAACACGTAACGCGTCATTCTCCTTTACTTTTTTCAACTATTTTATTTATTTGGATGGCTTAGAGCTACCAATGCTTGTCTTATAGTACATTGAATTTGCAATTTTTATGATTACTTATTGGACATCTACTAATCTACCCACATGCCTTCAATTCTTTATTTCCATATTGTTTATGAAAAATAAATGTTTAGAGTTAAACAATTACTTTTAGAATAACACTACACTAATAACTCTTTCTCACAAATTTTCTCTTATAATCTTAACACAGTTTATAATTGGTCAGTTAACAATGAGTTTCATATGAGTCTCGCATAGATTCTACTAATTAATTACAAGATGATCAATTACAAACTATTACGTCAGTATTATAAGAAAGAATTATTGGTATAAGATTACTCTTACTTTTATTATATTCAGAAGAACATGCTGAGTATGGACAACGACAAAGATTAATCACAGCTTCTATTTTTTTTTATTTTAATTAAAATAATGCCACCAAACGTCGGTTTCGTTGAAAACGAACTTCTATAAAAATCCCTGCAAACAACCTTGATAAGCGTTAGAGATTTAATTATTTTATTTAATATGATAGCTTTTTGTACAATTAAGATGTTCCTTGTCCTACTTAGTTTTCTTGCTGGTGTAATCTATTATAATACTATGTATTATTTTATTAAAATAATATTTATGCAATTACTAACCTAAATTCACGCTATCTTTTGCTCCATTTTCTCTCTTCTTTGTGGGCCATATTTAAAAATTTCTTTTGTAGAAACTAAAATTATTTATCCAAATAAAAGTAAGGGAAATTATATTAAATAACCTATTTTTGGGTCTCAATTCAAAACTAGTATGTTTTTGAAAGTATCTCAAAACTTTAGCATACATTGTACCAAATTACCCTTTCTTAACTATAACCCAGAGTGATTGATAACCATGTATCAGTCAGCTAATAGAAATCGATAAACATCTACCAATGAATTGATAGAAGTTGATAGGGGTCTATTGGATAAAGTTCGCTTGGTTTTAAGACTATATCTTATGAAAACTAATGTAGATAGGTCTTAAAACAAAACAAACTCCTACTTAATATATTGGTTACTTCGAGTTTTTAGTTAAATAAAGGTAATTTGGTCTATTAGGTGTTGAAATTTTGAAATAGAATTGTTTTCTAAGAAACTTTTACAGAGGATTATTTCTCAACTAATTCCCAAAAAACAAGGTTATTTAAAATAATTTCCCTAAAAGCAAATATCAGCTACTTTTATGTAAAGTGCTTTTACAATTCAAAACAACTTTTTCCCAAAGAAAAAAAATACTTATCAAAAGCTTTTATAAAGAGGTAATATTATAGTTTTAATCTCTCCTTAAAAAGTTAAAAAAATTGTTGTATTGTACATACGTAGATGTGAGTGAGGACTGCGTGAAGCCCAATAGAAGAATGAGATGACCTTTCTTACAGTGAGGTTATAGAGGTCGGGGTGCGCAAGTGGTCCAGCCCAAATAATGGGTCTTGATCTTGATTTGATGACCATTAATGAGGGGACCATTTTTCATCATCCAAAAAAGGAAAGATTGGACAATAATTTACTAATCCTAAGTTTTCATACTTCAATTATGTACAGTAGCCAAACTCCACATCATCTTCTCTCCATTTGTCTTCTCTTCTCATCAATTTCACAAAAAACATTTTCAACTTCTCAATTTCAGATTTTTTAATACTTTTATGTATATTAAAAACCCTATTTGATTCTACATTAATATCACAAAAAAAATAAAAAATAAAGGCCACTTCAGCCAATAGAATCAAAAGTTTTGGCTGAATCTCTCTATGCACACATGTTTTAAAACACTGATTTTTTTTTTCCACATGTTGCATTTACAAGGTGCTATGTTTTTACTTTATAAAACTCATACTAATATCCAACCCGGTACATTTAAACAAACAAATTGAATAAACCATAATGTCAATGCTTTTTAGATAGATCATAGACGTGTTTTCAACAATGAGAGGATTCACTTAAAGGTATATGATTTGTTGAGTAAAAGAATTTGTAAAAAAAATATTTGCATGATTTTTTATGATCTAATTTACCCTTTTAAGTAATTCTAATTAAGGATAACATTGTAAATAGAAAATATTTAAAAAAAAAAATGAAATTTATTAGACGGCTAATAACATCCCTAATTATCACATTTATTTTTAGTATTTATAATCAACCCTAGAGATCAAGTCATACTATATTATTAATGAAATTTGATTGGTATGTGATTACTTGTATATAAGAATAGGTCATATTGTATTGTTCATGAATAATAAAAATTGACTTACAATCCAATTTTACAAATTTTTTCTCACAATTTCAATATGGCAGCTCGCAATTAGGCAGAGAGTTACTTGATCGTTAACTTCAAGATTCTGGGGACTAGTTAAGACGCGCGTAAACTAGTTCGGACAACCCCCGAATACAAAAAAAATAAAAAATCGTAAACTTATTTAACTAACTATTAATTAAATGGATAATATTGTAGACTTTTTTTAAGGTTCTTAAATTTATTATTCAAGTGTCAACTTTGGTATTTCTTTAAATAGACCCTCAAAGTTTGAGATTCTATTTGACAAAAAATGGAAAAATTATTATCTCAATAATAAATTTAAAAAACTTAAGTGTATTCTATGCTATTTTCCCATTAATTAAACCAAAGTTGTTTATATGTCATATGCCAGTTGAAATTAAAACCAACTTATGTTTTTTTTGCTGTCGACCATTTATTTTTTTATTTATTTTTGTCTTTTTTATTGAAAATTTATACACCCGAATGACCAAAAAGCAAAAAAACAAAACAGTATTTGCATGCAATTGCTGGTCTAAATGTGGGAAA